TTTTATTATGTTTCTAATTATGTTAAATTTGATTTATTTCTCTTTTTTTTTCCTTATCATGCAATAGAGCAGCGTTTGGCAAACTATACTCACTGGGCTCTGAACCTGTTTTTGTAAATAAAGCTTTATTGGAACACAGCCATGCTCATATAGCTGCTTTCTCACTACACCGACACAGTTGATTAGTTGTAACAGAGACTTCATAACCCACAAGCCTAAAATACTTACTCTCTAGTTCTTTACAGAAAAAGTTTGCTGATCCCTGCTAGAATTGCTGTTTTGTCAATATTATAAAAATGAACAAATATATAAATTATATTTATTTAACTTACAGTATGTATGTTTGATTATACTCATCTGATCTATCCTAACCAAAAATTCCCATGTTTGTCTTATAAAGTTGGCTTTTTCTTTTAGACAACCTATGAAAAGCTGGACAGGTCCAAGTCTGAACTTGAGGATGAAATACTCTTTCTAGAAAAACAGTTAAAAGAAGAGAAATCTAAACGTTCTGAAAAAGATGAATTGGTAAGGCTTTTGTATTTGAGGAGAATATAAGAAAAAGTAATTGTGTTTTTAAAAATTAATGTTGTTGGTTAAAGTATAATATGCACTGTAAAAATAATCCAAAGAATACAGAAGGCTATAAAGTGGAAAGCAAACTTTTCCAGATGCACTATGCCTTTACACTTGGTAGAGGTTATTATGTTTTTTACATATTCTTAAACAGAAATTTTCCATATGCACTATGGAAGTAGCTCATGTAAGTAATTTAAGTTGAATAATCACGTACATAGTGGATATTTTTTAATGCCTAAAAGCTGTGTTAAGAACATTTTACCTCTCCTTCGTTTGTCTATTTTAAAATCTAGCTTAAGGAAGCTCTTGATATGTATCAGACTATTTAGTAAGATGTGCTATTGATGAACTTATCTTGAGCCTGTATGACTTGAATGTTATGAAATAGTAAAGTTGATATTAGATGCTATTGATACTAACTTTCATATAAAATCTCTGTAAGCATATGGCTAAATAAGCTGAGACAGTTTCTTAATTTGAGCCCTCACTTATAAAGCAAGTGTTAGGTTGACACTATATCTAACAATATAAATGGCATCTTGGGAACTGGAGGGGTTTAGTAAATACTTGTTCTTTATTGATACTGTCTTTTCAGGTGATGGATATTTCAGAAAGGATACAGTCCCTAGAAGATGAATCAAAATCTCTCAAATCACAAGTAGCTGAAGTAAGTTGATTAGCCTTATAGGTCTATTGCTTTTGAAAATCACCGTAATTTTAATTTTACTGTTATATTTATTACTAAGGAATAAGACATGCTAATAGAATTTGAGATATAGGGGATCTTAGATATAGATTTTTTTTATTTGAGGTACTTCAGAGAATAAGTCGTTGGTCTTACAAAATTCTGTCATGTGATTCTGGTGTTGTTTCTATTACCAAGGCCATATTTTTCAACTACTGATCCTTCTTTAACTATGATTGAGACACTGTTTGTCTTCAATTTGTCATTCCCAGCATACTAGACCAAATAATTGTCCGATTCAAAATGACCAGTGCCAGTCCATTTCAGCTCACTAACGCCTAGGATATTGATCTTCAAG